ATGCTTTATTTATGTAAAATTATAATAAATGCCACATGTGTTGTATTTTAATAGCAAGTTTATGCCACATAAGGGCCATCTAGGCGGATGGTTTCCTTAAGGAAAACAATCCGAATGCTCCATAGAAAAACCGGTAAGTTTATATAGTGTTTATATGGTATAAAAGTTTATACATAAATGCAAGTGATCTTTCAATATGATGTCTCTACTATTTGATAATAGATAAATTTTTGTTGAATGCCTTAAGAACTAAAGCAATGTAACTTTCATAGTAACCTTGCAGTCTCACATTTAACTCTCTTGCTCACGATGAACACGAATTAATATATTTATCATTAAATGTGATAGGAGATTAACAATATACCATATTCAGATATAACGATCAAAGATTGCGAGATATTGACAATTGATATGTGTCCACGTCGGTGGGCAAGTATTTTCAATATCTTTTATGATCTTTATATTAGTTTGTCTTTTTTTTTTTTCTTTGTGTTTTTTATTTTTTCTGAAGAGAAAGTCTTTTTGAGAAATGTTATTGTACATAGGGCTGTACATAACACTCACATTGAGTGGGACCGACCAAAAATAAAAAATCAAGTGGACCTCACTCCATGTAAATATTATGTACACCTTTATGTACATTTATTATGTACTTACCAGTTTTCAGTCTCTAATATGCGAAAACAACGTTTGGGCCTGAGTCACCCGACAGGTCTTCTAAGTCAGACACCAGATTACAAAGGGCTGAATCCAATATTGTTCTGGGCTGCTTTTCAGGCCCATAGACACACTCATTTAACATACCCAGCCCAATGAGCAACAAAGAGGAAGGTAGCTTTTTATGGGCTCCAAAGCAGGCGTCCGACCGCCGCCGCCGGCACCCACCGTCCTCCACCACTATCCTCAGCCACGTATTCCAGCGCTCAAAACTGGTCTCAGTCCTCTGTTCCTCCGCCGTCCCCTTCCCTTTCTCCCTCTTCGCCGACCTCCTCCGAGCCTGCGCCTCGGAACAATGCCGTAGCCGAGATCTGGAAGCTTGAGTGCCATCTATCACCTTCACTCCGATCCCTCCGTCGCTTCTGCTCAACATGGCCGTCGGGAGTTTAAGGGAAACGCGGCTCCCTGCTTGACGCCCAGGACCTGTTCGACCAATTGCCCAACAGAGATGACGGGTTTTAGAACACGATAATCGGGGGCCCACTACAGAAGCGAGCTTCCCCAGGCGCCCTGGGCCTGTTTTCCCAAACGAATGGGCCCGGCCCAGTGAAGATTCACGTTTTGGGTAATTCCCTTATGTGAACTGCATATATGTGGTATCTTTATACATAAGTTTGTGCGTGCGTGTTTTAATTTTTGTTCGTGTGTGTGTGATTTGGTGTCAGAAAACAGGGCCAGTTGGGAATTAAATATCTGAATAAATTAATTCCATTTAAAATAATTCTTTTCCACTTTACACTTTTTTTTTTTTTCCTGAACTAGGTACTTTCTAGAATACAAATTTAAGAGTACCAAAAATTTCGCAAACTTAGGCAAAAGTTGATACGTGTGAATTGGTTTTTTTCTCATTGATAAGATCATACTTCATTTGGTGATGGGCATGCATAGCCAGCTAGTGAAGCCATTAAAATCCAATTCATTTTTGAGAAAAAAAAAAAATCTAATTCTTTTTTGGTAAAGGATTAGAATGACACGTACAAGTGTTTCTTTTTGGATCTAAAGTCCAAATTAATAGTTCCAACTCTATCCATACCATTACATCTCATCTTTATCACATCACAATATAATATAGAAAGATATGAAAATCATACATAGATATATGTGTGAGCTAATGTTTGAAATATTTTCAGATGTCACGTTCATTTATATTTTTACGATGTGTTGTTATAGTATTATTTACAATACTTATAATAGTGTTGTATTATTCATAGCCTATGCATACTAAATTAAAAAGATTATACAAAACACAATACCAAAAGTTCATAAAAGATTGAATCTTGGGGATAAACATGCAATTTCCTCCTTGTGTTATTTGAATTTAGTTATGGATATAATCTGCATTGAATGAACTAGAGCCCCTAAATTTCCAAAATTTTGATGTTGCAAAAGATGTTTGAGAATATAACACTAGCACACCACTTAAGAGTTGAGTGTACCAATTCAATTAGATGAGGGAGGTATATAAATTCGATACTACGGCCATTGTACTATTTTCTTCGAATTTTTTACCGTTAGATCGATGTGTATGTGATTCAACGATAAAAAATCAACAATAAAGAAATCCGAGGAGGGGGCTATGTATGATGTATCATTTGTCATTTTTGCCCTCACCGTTAGGCACGAATTTTTTTTTTTTTTGTCCCCCAATTTTATTTTTTTTTGTTTACTACAGAATGAAACACTAAATGTATCAATGTCATTGATGGGGATGTAGCCCAACTTTACTCAAGTGAAGATGAGCTATAGTTGTCCTAGAGTTTGGCACTATTATCTCTACTTGTTTAAGTGCTTTAAACTTCTCATTTAATTCAATTCCATATTTTGATCTCCTTTAGGACTATACAAAGAAAGCTCAAACTTGATTTTGCTGTTCTTTTTGAGAGGAAAAAAAGAAAAGAAAAGAAAAGAAAAATGGCTCTATGGCTTGCAAAATCAAGAAACACCATCACAAATTTTCTCAAAACGAAGACTTTTTACTTTCATGAGATTGCTCTCAATAATAATCAGGGGTGCAGGGGAATTAATTTCTGGTTTCATGCAAACTCTGCTTCTTACAAGACATTAGCTGTTGGTTTTAGCAGAAACCCATGTGGGTCGCGGGTCGAGTCGACGGCCTTCCGGGTTTTCCGGCGGCCGGAGTCAGCCAGAGCCGGCGAGCAAGTCGAAGCTGTAGCATACACTGATTATGTTGATAGTGATAATGATGAGGATGATGAAAACCAGGTAAATTTATTTTTATTCTTTAATAAATTTCCATTAGTGTATTTACATGTTAATTGTTAATATATTGTTATTTATATTTGTAAGCATGAAAAATATAGATTTATTTAAGAAATACAATTAACAGTATTATTATAAAAGTAAAACTTCTGAGTATATATGATTATATCTTACATGTCTGTAGTCCAACTACATGGCCCTAGTGGAAATATTAATTAGTGCCTTTCTTTTTGTAAGTTGGCCTCCTTAGTACTTACCATTTTGTAGAGATATTCCAACCGATTTATTCGCGAATATAGCTGAAAGCGACAATAATGTATCAAACGGGTATTTGTTAAACGAGACGAGCTGATCTTGTTCCTGAAAAGTTCTCTCTCTTTTTGTTTTTAAATTATTATTCTTGTTATATATGTAATATCTTAGTAAAACTTATTTCGTGTTCGAAAAAGCTTGTTTAAGTATTTAGGTTAGTGAATGAGTCGAGTCGAGTTTTTTGTTCACTTATGAAAAAGCTTGTTTAAGTATTTAGGTTAGTGAATGAGTCGAGTCGAGTTTTTTGTTCACTTATTAAACTAGTCGAGCCAAACTGGTTTGTTTATTAAATGACATCAGACGAGTCCAAAATGTGTATCTAAACTCGAAAAACACCCTTACAATTTTGCACTGTTTCCAAAATATAGTTTCATTTGACAATTATTGACATTCATTCAAGAAAAACATAAAAACATGACTTTTTTATACATATGGTAATCATTATTTAAGTGGAATAACAAATGAAAATATCATTTTGCTTTTATGGATGAGATCATGTGACGTGTCTATTCAAATTGGTTTTTGCTTTTACACATACATTTAACTACATAAATAAATGACTATCATGCCATGTTATATAAAATTTTATCATGTTATTAGTTGAATATATAACGTCAGACTTGATGAAAATACTGGAAAGTATGAATATGCCTAGATAAAAAAATTCCCACCAAATCAACATAATTTGAAATAAATATTTATACAATTTAAATAATCATTGATCTTTTTGTTATAAGTTGTCGAAATACACGGAAATCCTACGAACCGAAATGTATTTTTCAATTCTTACAAATGAACTAAAAATAGAAAATTACAATAAAACTGAAATAAAATATGAAAAACGAAAAGATTATAGCCGAGGCGAATAAACTCTTTCCGCAAGACGAATATGCCTTGTGTAATGCTGACGTCTAAACCGACGAACTAGTATTACTAATTACTAATTCAACTTCTCGAACTAGAATTAGTAATTACTAATTCAACTTCTCCGACGAACTAGAACGGAGTCGAGAACAGAATACATATATATAAATTAGAACGACTAATAAAAATCTCACTTTTCTTTCTTTTTATCTTAATTCTTCACTCATTTTACAAAAATAAATAAATAAATAAATAAAAAATAAAAAATCTTCACTCTGTTTTTGTTTCTCTTTTCTATTGTTTCAAAACTTTCTTCCATATTCTTTCTTCTGCAACTGAACATGTATATATAGAGAGAGCCATGAGAGTGAGTACTGATCAAGTGGACAATTTGCGGTAAGGCAAACAATGCCATTTCTTCACGGAATTTCAAAAAATTCAATCAGATTGGTATATGATTTGATCAATAGGTTATTAGGTTATCGTTGCTTTTACTTTGCAAGTAGATAGTCCCACAAACAACCCACTACAACTATTTCTCTACTCACTTTCTTACACTTTTTTCATGTAAATCTACTAATTATTACAATGAATTTTCCACATCATTTTTAAAATAAACAATAGCTGTACTTGTAAACTAAAGGTTTACATTGAATTAGTAATTTTCCAATCTAAATAGACAGTTCTATAATATACGAATACAGACAACTCATCAGCCTCATAAGAGAGCGAAATATTGGGCTGGATCGAAAAAATACAAAAAACTCAATTAGGCCCATTATTAAGAGGTTCTTTTCAAGTGGCCCATTTTGAATATAACACTAGTGACAGGTCCATACCTTGTGGAGAGATGCAGAAATAGCACATTTCTAGTCACACATTTTTATTTTTATTTTTTAAATTTTAAAAAAATCATAATGTATATTGTATACATTTATTTTATATAGAAAAAATGTGTGCGCAGGGACGGATGTAAGTACACCATAGGGGGCTATTGTCCCCTTAAACTTTTCATTTTTTTTACTATATATTTAGACATTTTGCAAAACTGTTACTATTTGTTATCATGTACAATATATGCTATATATACTTTAAGCATATCCAATTTATCTATATACCCCATAATCATTACCTGTTATTAAAATGAATGATGTACTAAGAATTTTTAACTATAACATATTTTTGTAAGTAAATTTCTATACTTAAAATTTATATATTTTTTTATTTGTGATGTTACAAATGTGAACAGAGTTGTGTTGTGTTTGGGCACTCCAACTGCTTCTTGATCCCATTAAATTATATTCCCTGTTTTTCACACACACATATATGTATGCATTAATTTTTTCTGCCAAATACGAAACACTTGTTTATGAGTTATTTGAACACATTTTTGCATCGTAGACACGTACTATGCTGTCCAAACTGAATATATGATTAGTTTTAGGCTTGTAGCACTTGAAAGAGAGCTAATAATTATATNTTGTTGTGTTTTTTTTTTTTTATTTTTTTTTAAAGATGCTTTGCATTCATGATTCTCTCTAAAGAAGAAAGAAAGTGAAAAGAACCACATTTTCATGTGTGATTCTAATGATAAAATTAAAATTATTTAGCAAAATCAGCAAAGTAGCCATTATATAGTGTGTGGATTCAATGCAATAGGTAAAAGCTAAAAGCTAGTTCAGTTAACGAGCCAGACTCGGCTCATTTCGTCTCGGCTTGAAGATAAGAATTGTACTATAATATTCTATATTTCGGTTTGTTAAGGTTCGAGCCAGACTCGTTAATATGGGTAAACATGCAAAGTTCGACTCGTTAATATGGATAAACATGTTGAGCTCGAGCTTGACTACTGATTCGGTTTAGTGAATTTGAGGTGTAAAGTTTACATGTAATTATGTATTTCTGTTATTGTACTATATAGTTTAAAATTTTTAAAATTGATTAACAAATTCAACAATTGAATCGAGGATCCCGGAGGCCAGCTCGGGCTAACCGAGGTTGGGGATTGATATTTTTTTTACTTTTTTTCCTTATTTATGTCTTGATTGATCCAGTTGACTCACTTGATTGCCTTAAAAAAAGTAGCAGGGGCTGGATTTTCCTGGTGGAAAAGTCGCATTTACCATCCAAATGAGGTTCATTTCAGAGTCCCCTGAAAAGAGGGTGCCCTGTTATAGGGTTCTTGATGATGATGGCTATATAATTCCTGGCTGCACATTTGAAAAGGTACTTAATTATGTAAAATTCATTAATGGCCTTCGTTCGATTCGTAATTGGTAGCTGAATAGTGGGGTTCAGAGCTAATAATGAATAATCAAAGCAACTGCAATGAGGCTGTGAAAAAGAATGAACCTTTATATTTTTCTTCTAATATGCAGTGCACATTTGGGTGATTTTCCTAGAATACCCTTTGTTCGAACGTAATCAGTAGCAAAAGAATGTAAGAAATACGAATCAGATAGTGGATTCGGAGCTCATATTCCTTGCATATGCATGAAAAAATAAATGAACAATTAGGTGGACAAATCAACTGCAGTGAGAATGTACAAAATCTTGAATCTTTACATTTTGTTAATGCAATGCAATGTACTTTAGGATGATTTTTCCTACAGAATGCCCTTCGTTCGAACTTAATTGTTAGCAAAAAAACCAAAAAAAACAAAACAAACAAATAGTGGAATCGGGAGCTAATGATCCTCGCATATATGCGCAAAAAAAAAAAAAATGAATAATTAGGTGGACAAATCAACTGCAGTGAAGATGTACAAAAGCATGGTGACCCTTCAAATAATGGACATTTTCTTTTACGAAGCACAAAGACAAGGAAGGCTCTCGTTTTACATGACCTCATCCGGTGAGGAAGCCGTTAATATTGCAACGGCTGCTGCACTTTCGTCCGATGATGTTGTATTACCTCAGGTGACCGAAAAAAAGATTTTTAATTTACATTGTTTTTAAGCTTTTTCTTTTTCTTTTTAATTAACTTAATGCATGCGTGAATCAGTATCGTGAGCCGGGAATTCTCTTGTGGCGCGGTTTCACGCTAGAACAGTTTACGAACCAATTGTTCGGAACCAAATATGGCAGCGACAAAGGCAGGCAAATGCCGGTACATTACGGTTCCAAGCAGCACAATTACTTGACCGTTTCATCACCCATCGCGTAAGTTTTTTTTTTTAAAAAAAAAAAATACTNAAAAAAACGTGACATTCTTAATTTCGTGTAACTTTGTGAAAATGATCATGATACGTATTTGTCTCATCAGAACACAGCTTCCTCAAGCTGCTGGAGTTGCTTATTCCTTGAAAATGGATAACAAGGAGGCGTGTGTCGTGGCTTTTATGGGTGACGGGTGCACGAGCGAGGTAGAATTATTTTAAATATATTTTTTTTTGAGTAAAAAATTAATTTTGTTGTGTTTATTACGTCGACTTTTTTCTGCAGGGCGATTTTCATGCGGGACTGAATTTTGCAGCGGTTATGGAAGCCCCGGTTTTATTCGTGTGCCGTAACAATGGCTATGCCATAAGCACCCCAACATCCGAACAATTCCGAAGTATAGTTTCGTTCCTCCATACAGTCCTCACTTTTACAATAAAATCTCTGGAAACTTCTAAAAGTTCTTCATTGTTCGTGATAAACAGGAGAAAGTCTTGTAACTTACACAAAATCGAGAAATAGTCCGGTGATTGTGGTTATTTTACAGAAACTGCAAAATAACCTGACTTTTGGTCCTTCCGATGGCAAAAATCGGTCAATTTGACCGACTGGATATGTTAGTTGGCTGTCACGTGTACGAAAAGAAAATTAAAACAAAAAAAATTCACGTCAGCAACTGGTCACAGGTCACAGAGACCGGCTTTTGCCGGTGGAAGGACCAAAAGTCAGGTTTTTTTGCAGTTACAGGGTGTTTTGTAAAGCCAATACGATCACCAGATTATTTCTCAATTAGGTGTGTCAGTTACAACTGTTTTACAATTACAGGACTAAATCTCCAATTTCTATTTTTTCGTGATAAACCCCGAACATTTGGCTAATTTCATCTTTGGCAGGCGATGGTGTGGTTGTTAAGGGCCAAGCTTATGGAATTCGTAGCATCCGAGTCGATGGAAACGACACTCTCGCTGTCTACAGTGCAATTCGAGTGGCTCGGGAAATGACCATTCGCGAACACAAGCCGGTACTAATCGAGGTGAAACTTATAATTAAACGAGCTAATTAATGAGTAACAAAAAACTTATTACAAACGAGCTTTAATCGTATATAATGCCGAGTTTTCTTCCATGTCAATGTGTGTACCTTAGACCCTCACTTACCGAGTGGGCCACCACTCGACATCCGATGACTCGACCAAATATAGACCGTCTAACGAGATAGACCACTGGAAAAAAGCTCGAGACCCAACTAACAGATTCAGAAAATGGGTTCAGAAAAACGGGTGGTGGACTGACGAGGATGAAAACGAACTTCGTTCGAGCACAAGAAAACAGGTTAGGAACAAAAATGGAAACTAAACTATCCAACATATGCATACTTAGAAGTCGAAACATACTAT